GGAGAGCAGACTCAGCAGCCAGGCTGCATTGACCTTACTCACTTCCTAGCATCCCTTTCCTCTTTTCTGGACCAGGGCTCCTGTGACTGGGTCTCAGATAATTTCTCACTGCTCCATGTTGTTCTTCATCCTTTGTTTCCGAAGATAACCAGTGACATCACCTTGTTGAGTCAGGTTACAGTGTGTTCGGCTGTGGCTGAACAGTCCAATGTGAGTCTGGAAGGGACTAACACAGGTTGGACACAAGTAATCTATTAGAACATTTGGGATGAAGACATCGCTGGATTTGCACAGTTCATATTTCTTTTGTGCTTCTGCAATTCTGCTTTGCTCATGGAGTACAGTGCCTTCTTTCTCGTGGGCACCGCCATGCTGGGTAGTCCTGTGCCAGAGTCTTCCATGTCTTACATTTGATACTAAAGTTCTTCAATGAGACCTTGAGAGTGTAGCACCCCAAAGCAAGATGATTGTCAGAGATTGTCAGGAGAACAGATTAGATCACTTCTCCACTAGTGAATAGTTCATTGCTGACCTGGAGGGAGAGCTGAGTCAGCACACAGTTGGCAACAGCAGAGCAGAAAGGGAATGGGCAGCTTTCAGAGATTTTGTGTACAGCACTGCATTTGCTCACCTTGGCCAGAACACTCACAAACATCAGGATTGGTTTGATAAAAAGGGTGGAGAAATTCAGAAGCTGCTAAAGAAGAAACAAAAACTCCACAGAGTTTACCAGTAGGGTAAAGTGCAAGCAAAGCTTAGAGAGATGCATTCTTGGCTCAGTAAGAAGGCAAATGAGATTCAATTTTATGCCAATAGCAACAATACAAAAGTACCTCTATGATGCCCTGAAGACTATTTGTGAGCCAAAGACTTCCATATAGCTGGGTAAGAGAAGAACCAGATGACCTCTAAGATCCATTGGAGGTTGAATATTTCACTTTCCAAAGACCCTCCTAGATTTAGCATTCTATATTCTACAGGTCCTTCCCTCTCTAACATTATATGCTCTATGTTTAAAATTCTTTCTCCTGCTCTGCTTCTGTGGCAGAAGCAACATCTTAATCCCTCTGTCCATGCAGGTTGGGTTAGTTTTTCCTTAAAAGATATTGAGATATTCCTCAAGACTCAGTTGGTTCAGGGGACTGAGAGCTCATCCTATTAACATCACTTTGTCATCACCTGGAGTAGAAGGGCTCCAAAATACTTGACTGGTGGATTGTGATGGAAGTGTTACTCCAGTGAAATAACTCCAGGTGTCCTCAATGCCTATCCTCTTGAATATTCTTCTCCTGCTATGGCTAAGTAAATCTCCTTTTGTTAACTATTGAATGACCTATGTGGGTTTTTTTTCCATTTTGTTCCACTGTCAGACTTAAACTAACTAGTCTGACCTGAGTCAGACCTAGTCCAGAACAGCTACTTACTATCTATGTAATTGGGGAAATCACTTCTCAGCTCATCCTCAAAATGAAGTTGAACTAAATGAAATCTAAGGTCTGTTCAAGCTCTAGATGCAGAATCCCATGACTCTGGAAAAGGGAACAAAGAGGTGCTGTGGAATACTACTATGCTATAAGAAATAATGAAGGTGGGCAGGAAATGAGCATTTATTAAGGACCTACTATGCAGCAGGAACTGTGCTAGGTACTTTTACAAAAATTATCTCACTTGATCCTGCAAGGTAGGTGCTATTTTTATTCCCATTTTACAATTAAGGAAACTGAGGCAGACAAAGGATAAATGACTTTCCCAGGATCACACAGCTAATAAGAATCTGAGGCCATGTTTGAACTCAGGTCTTTTCCTGACTCCAGAGACAGCATTCTGTCCACTGTGCCATCAGTTGCCTCTGGCTTTTGACTCTGTGTATCCTCAGATACACAGGCACATAGTGCCTGACACATAGCAGGTAATTAATAAATATTGATTGATTCATTTTAAGGGGATGGTTCCAGAGAAACCTAGGAAGACTTGAATGAATTGATACAGAAGGAGGTAAGCAGAAGGAGCAGATTAATTCAAATAATGACAACAATGTTGTAAAGACTTAGAAATACCTTTGAAAGACTTAGAAATTCTGATCGGAGTACTGACCAGCCATGATTCCAGAGGACTAATGGCAAAACATGCCACCCACCTCCTGAAGTGAGACTAGAATGAGACTTTTTTTTACATAGTGGAGACTCTTCTCTAAACTATTTTGAACTCCAACACCTGAGAAAGGCCTAAAACCTGAATTGGCCAATCAGGAGAGACATTTTGTCCCACTCTGGGTTTAATCTACCATAAATAATGTTTTCCATTGTGTTGCTCTTGAGTGAACCCAGAATGCCCCTTCCTGTGTCAACAGCTGAAGCTGATCAAGGGCATTCTTCTGTTTATGACCACCACTAAGGCACCTTGACCCAGACACTACCTTAAATAGTGGGACTTTTCCTATCTTAGCATTTTATGGACATACACTATGCGATGTCATGTTAATGGTAAAAGAAAAAGATATCCTAGCTGTGTGACCTTGGGCAAGTGACTTCATGGCAACGCTAACTGCTAACAGATAATTTCCATCAACACTTTGACATTCTCCTATCTTATTGTATTGACAACCTATTCACTTAAGAAATTCCTTTCTCATATCATGGTTAAACATTTGGAAACCATAATTTTGGCTGACAGAGGCATCCTGAGCCAGGGAGGGAGGAGTGAGAGAGAATTGCTCTGAACATATAAAAATCCTCTTTGTCCATCTTTGGGTTCATTGTTTCATGACGAGCTCTCATGCTTATCTCTATATGTGTGTTTCTCAAGCTTTAAGAGAAATAAACATTCATGTTCAGATTAATTTTGTTTGTCTTTCTAAGAACGAACTCAGTAATGGCTGACAATAGCCAATGTAGAAATTTGTTTTGATGGATTATGTATGTTTATTATTATATGTTGTTGTTCAGTTGTTTTCAGTCATGCCCAACTCTTTATGACCCCATTTAGGCTTTTCTTGGCAGAGATACTGGAATGGTTTGTCATTTCCTTCTCTAGCTCACTTTACAGATGAAGAAACTGAGGCAAACAGAGGTAAGTGACTTGCCCAGGGTCACACAGCTAGTAAGTGTCTGAGGCCAGATTTGAACTCAGAAGATGAGTCTCCCTTACTCCAGGCCCAGCACTTTATCTGTTGAGCCACCTATGTTTGTAATTGGGGTTTTGTTTTTCTTTGTTTCCTATTTGAAGTTGGGATGGAGGGAGAGAACATGGACCTTTGCTAATTAAAAAAATAAAATTTAGTCTTTTGAAAAGATTCAATAGCATTTGTGGTAGCAAAGAATTAGAAACAAAGCAGGTGACCACAACTTGGGGAATGTCTAAACAAATGGTGATACAAAAGAAGTAGTCTTTCCAACATGGGTGACTCATATCAGGTGATCCAGCCATGTAGCCAATCCCTGTTATATTTATTAAATGGGTTAGCTGGGGCAGAGGTGGGAGAGGGGGAATACTAAGAGAAATTCTAGTGATTTTTTAAAAAAAAGATATCAATAACAATGCATTATGTAAAAAGTCAATAGTGACTTTGTGACTGATTGTGTGTAAATGAGAAGTACATGAAGGGAACTCAAGAAGTAAAGTCGTGAGTAATGGGCTAGTATTCCCCTCTCAACATTAAGGTTATCCCTGGAACCCTGAGAGTGAGTGGATTATAGCTAAGTGGACATGGCTATGTCCAGCTCCATCTCAGAAATACATTTCACTCAACAAGAAATGAGGAAGGAAAGGCACAAAGAGTCAGACACAACTGAAATGACTAAACAGGTGGCACTATCCACTGATAGAGCACCAGTTCCAGAGTCAGGAGGACCTGAGTTCAAATCCAGTCTCAGACACTTGACACTTACTAGCTGTGTGATCCTGGGCAAGTCACTTGACCCCGATTGCCTCACCAAAACAAACAAACAAACACAGAGTAAGGGCTTAATAAATGTTGAATGATTGATTGACCTATAGGAATTTCTCACTGATAATAAAAGTTCGAGCCATTGCAAGAGGGTTTCCTGGGGTAAAAGGAGTCTTCCCCCCAATTCATGATTCTATTGGCTGCTATTTACTTGACCATTTGTTGTTGTTAAGTTGTTTTTCAGTCATGTCTTATTCTCCATGACCCCAGTTGGAGTTTTCTTGGAAAAGATCCTGGAGTGGTTTGCCATTTCCTTCCCCAGCTCATTTTATAGATGAGGAAACAGAGGCAAACAGAACAAAGTGACTTGACCAGGGTCACACAGCTAGGAAGTATCTGAGGCTGGATTTGACTCATGAAGATGAGTCTCCTGATTCTCAGCCCAGTGCACTAGCCACTGCACCACCTAGCTGCCCTACTCAGCCCATACCAAGGCTAGCTAGTTCAGCATACAAGCAGCACTGTCCCTTCCTTTGGGGAGGAGGAGAGGAATTGGGTAGAGTTGGGGAAAGAATGAGAGGGCTGTGGAAGGAGAGGGAGGTTGGGTAGGCACAGAGATACTTGGCCCCTGGCAAATCATTTAACTTCTGTCTGCCTCAGTCTCCTCAACTGTAAGATGGGGAGCCTAAGAAGGTACTTTAAGAAACTGAGGCACCAAGAACATTTATTTCCAAAGAGAAAGAGCCTTTATTTAGCAAGAGCTGAATAACAGCCAACCTAGGGAGAAAAGAGTCAAACTTCAAATAGCTTGTTTCCAAGCGTCATAGAAAGGAAACTCAGAAAGCAGAGAATTGAAACTTAAGTGTTTGGTGGCTAGTAAGAGGCCAACCCTCTAAGGTGGTCCAGAGGACATTCAGCCAGGGGCCATGACTTGGCAGACACCCTTTGCTTTAGCGTTTGATTCCAGGAAGAGAAGCCCACCTGTGACCTAATCCCCTAAAACCTCCCCACTTTTCTGGCCTTTTTCTTGTCAAGGCAGAGTAATGAGAGGCAGAGCCACCTTAAGGAAGAGGGCAGGGGATGGGCTGGACAGCTATTTATCTGTAGCCGCACCCAGCCCTAAGCACAGATGGAGCCACCTCAGAGCCTGTTCGATACTCCTGCAGAGAGATTGGATTCCTTTATAGCACATGAACTCCTCCCTACCAAGGAGTGCAAACAGGAGATCCATGAGGCCTTCCAGATGATCCAGAAATTCCTTCGAGGCTCGTGTTTCAAGGTTGGAGAGGCCAGGGTGCTGAAGGTGCTGAAGGTGAGAGCCTGCCCCAGGGGTGTGGTGGACTATAACGCTGTGAGGAATCAATGCCTCTCCTCTTCCTCTTCCCCCTGCCAAGAGAGCCACAAATACAGCCCAGAAGTCAGTTGGTCAAGTCAAGTCAACAAGCATTTATTAAGTATCTACTGTGTGCTGGGCATTGTACTAAGGGCTGGAGATACAAAGAAAGGCAAAAAAATCCTTTTACTCAAGGATTTTACAATCTAATAGGAGAGACAACAAAAAAACAAGATATATACAAAATAGAGACGTCATAGAGGGAAGGGGATTTGGAAAGCTTATTTCAGAAAGCAAGATCTTATCTGAGGCCTGAGGGAAGGAAGCCAAGGATTCCAGAGGGCAGACATGAGGAGGGACAGCAGGTACGTCTGGATTAGGATTTTGCAAGAATAGGAGTCTCTTTCGTCCCAAACTCTCTGTTCCCCGCTTCTTTCCATCAACATCTCTGGGCTCTCCCTGCCCTCCTTCCCTCCAGACTCAAGCAGAACCAGTTCTTAAAAGAGATTGATTCTTTATGTTCTGCTATAGCCAAGCCTTGGTTCATTTACTACATGAATTGCCTCTACCTACCTCCCCATTCCAACTCCTGCTTGTATGGTTTCTTTGCTAGATGGCTCTCTGACCCCAAGCGATTCTTCACCTAATTTGCTAAGCTAATTGACACCAACTTATTAAGTTATTGTGTGCCCAACATACTAAACTATTGTGCACTCAATTTGGTCACAGCAAACATGTGCCCAATTTACTAACGGATTCTCAACTAGCTGAATAAAGAACACCATTTTGCTTAACTATGTGCCAATTTGTTTAACTAAGTGAATACACAAAGTTACCAAGTTACTATGCTCCTGGCTTGATAGACTAACGGATTACTAACCTGCTAAACTACCTCATGCCTACCTTGCTAAGCTAACGTCCCAACTTCATAAATGAGTTGGCATTAACTTCTTAAACCAATATGTGCCCAACTCGCTAAACTAATGTTTACCCAATTGCTAAATTAATGGGTACCAACCGTACCTAACATTTATTTCAATAATATTTTATTTTTCCCAATCACATGTAAAAACAATTTTTACCATTTCGTTTATGAAATTTTGAGTTCCAAATTCTCTCCCTCCCTCCCCTGAGACAGTAAGCAATTTGATATAGGTTATATGGGATATATATTTGATATAGGTTACATATGTGCAATCACACAAAACATACTTCCATATTAGTAATGTTGTGAAAAAAGATACAAACAAAAAAAACTTTTAAAAAAATGGAAGTGAAAAATCACATGCTTTAATTAATATTCAGACTCCACCAGTTCTTTCTCCGGAAGTGGCTAGTAATTCTTTCATTGTCAGTCCTTGGATTATTTTAGAACTGAGAATAGCAAAGTCATTCATAGTTGATCATCATACAGTGTTGCTGCTACTATGTACGGTGTTCTGGTTCTGCTCACTTCACTTTGCATCTGCTCGTGTAAGTCTTTCCAGGTTTTTCTGAAATCATACTGCTCGTCATTTCTTACGGCACAATATTATTCCATCAAAATCTTATACCACAACTTGTTCAATCGTTACCCAGTTGATGGACATCCCCTCGATTTCCAGTTCTCTTCCACCACACAAAGAGCTGTTACAAATATTTTTGTACAAATTGATCCTTTCCCCTTTTTAATCACTTTGGGATACAGACCTAGTAGTGGTATATGCCTAACATTTTAAGCTAAGACATCAGTTTACTAAACTAAGATGCTCCCCACCTGATAAACCAACATTTGTCTAACATGCTAAGCTAAGGGGAACCAGCTTTCTAAGCTGAGTCACTTCTGACATGCTAACCTAACACAACTCTGTAAATGGAGAGCTTCTTATTTGCTAAGCTAATGTGTGCCTATCCTGCTAACCTAATGACACCAATGTGTGAAACCAACATGTTCTCTACTTACCAATCTACTGTATACCCAGCTGTCCAAGAGATCCTCGCTTTGGTCCTCCCACATCCCATTTCTTGTTTGCTCTATCTCTATCTCTCGTACCCACTGCTTCCCCTGGGCAGCTTGAGGAGGATGCAGGTCCCCAGAGGTTGTAAGGAAGTGTGATCTCAGAAAGGAAATAGAGCCTCAGTGATTTCTAGGAGCTGGAAGAACAATGTCTGGGTTCATATTTGTAAATGATCAGAGTTCTGCCAAGTCAATTAAACAATTAATGAGAATCATTGAGTATATTCAGCCTAGGGCTAGGTATTGAGTGAGATGCACCGAATGTGACCTTGGTCAAGTCCTTACCCTCCATGGATGTCAGTTCCCGTCTCTGAAATGTGAGAGGATTGCACTCAATGACCCAGACAGAGCCCTTCTGTTCCAGATTGATGGTTCTACAAGAGATAGAAGGCATACTCCCCTCGAGAAGTGACCTCTCTACTAAGTCTTTCAACAGGTGTCTATTGAAGCTACTTTGTGCCAGACACTGTTCTAAGTTGAGACTAGGGATGCAAAAATAAACAATCCCTGCCCTCAAAAGGCTTCTACTCTATCACAAAGAAACAACATAAACACATATAAGTAAATACAAAATATGTATAAAAACCCACGCAACCCACAGAGTTATTTGGACCCAAGGAGTCAGGAGAGCTGGTTACAATCCCACTTGAGCTGCTGGACAGTGACAGGAGCTTGGGCAAGTCACTGGGTCTTAGTTTGTTGGAGAGAGAATCATAGGTTTACCAGCTTAGCAGTGAAGGTTACCTTCAAAGCCATCTAGTTCAATGTCTTCATTTTACAGATGAAGGCCAGAGATGTGAAATAAACAGTATGGAGCTAAGTAGCTAGTATGTGTCAGAGGTCAGACTGGCACCCAAGTTCTCCGGATTCCAACACCAGCTCTGAAAACACGAGGCCATTCTGCCTCTCATTGCATGCTACGGATAAGGAAACAGAGGCTCAGAAGGGGATGGAAAGAGAGAGGAAGTAGCATTTGAGGAGAGTGGTGGAATAAGTATTTAATTTTTTTTTGTTCTGCCATTTTTATAGTATTTTGAGGTTTTTTCCAATTATATGTAAAGACAATTTTAGCAGTCATTTTTACAAAATTTTAAGCTCAAATTTCTCTCCCTCTCCTCTTTTTAAAATGGCAAGCAATTTGATGTAGGTTTTATATATGCAATCACGTAAAGCATATTTCCATATTAGTCATGTTGTGAAAGAAGAAATAGACTAAAAGGAAAATACACACACACAAAATGAAAATGGAAATAGTGTACCTCAGTCTGCATGCAGACACCATAGTTCTTCCTCTGGATGTGGATAGCATTTCCCCTCATGAATCGTTCGGAATTGTCTTGGCTCATTGTGTTAGTGAGCACTAAGTCATTCAGAGCTGGTCATCACACAATGTGGCTGTCACTGTGTACAACGTTCTCCTGGTTCTGCTCACTTCACTCAGCATCAGTCCACACAAGTCTTTCCAGGTTTTTCTGAAATCCACCTGCTCATCATTTCTTATAGAACAATAGTATTTCTTTACATTCATATAACATAAACTGTTCAACCGTTCCCCAATTGATGGGAATCCCCTCAATTTCCAATTTTTTGCCACCACAAAAATTGCTGCTTTAAATATTTTTGTACATGTGGGTCCTTTTCCTTTTTCCAATGATCTCTTTGGGATACAGACCTAGTCATGGTACTGTTGAATCAAAGGGTATGTACAGTTTGATTGCCCTTTAGACACAGTTCCAAATTATTCTCCGAAATTACTGGATCAATTCACAACTCCACCAACAGTGCATTAGTGTCTCAGTTTTCCCACATCCTCTCCAACATTTAACATTTTCCTTTTCTGTCATATTAGCCAATCTGATAGGTGTGGAGTGGTACCTCAAAGTTGTTTTATTTTGCATTTCTTTAGTCAAAAATGATTTCGAGCGCTTCATATGATTATAGATAGCTTTGATTTCGTCATCTAAAAACCGTCTGTTCATATCCTTTGACCATTTATTAATTGGGGAATGGCTTGTAGGAATAAGCATTTTTTGAGAATCTACTACGTGCCAGGCACTGTAAACATATATATTGATATTTATATGTATAATTTATAATTGCTGCCATTAGACTGTGAGAAAAGTATCTTATATATGTCATTTCATTTGCCTCACAACAATCTTGTGAAATTTAGCCTGTAAGCTCTTGAGGGCAGGGACAGGTTTTTGTGTTTCTTTGCATCCCCAGTGCTTAGCTGGTGCCTAGCACACAGTAGGGCTCAATAAAAGCTTATTAATGAGGATGATGATGATGACAACTTATTGCCTTGGTCCTAGGAGACAGAAATAGGAGTAATAACCAAAGTCATAGAGGGACCCATGTAGATGTAATCAAACAACCAAGCAGCAAGCATTTATTGAGTACCTACTGCATACCAGGCACTGGCGATACAAATGGAGTAAATGGAACAAAAACTTCCTAACAATTAGAGCTGTCCAGGAAGGTGGGCAGCAGCTTCCCATCACTGAAGGTCTTCAAGTAGAATGTCCCCATTAGGGACACTGAAGTGGAGATTTTGCACACGTAATCCTTGGGGCAAACGGTCTCTGAGGCCCAACGCTGATCAGTGACTCTTATTCCATGTTTGGCAGGCAGGGTCTGTGATGAACGGAACAATGCTTAAGTATGAAGGAGAAGTCCACGCTGTTGTGTTCCTCAGCTGCTACAACTATAGTGTGGAGGCTTCCTACCACCATGACATGCTAATGCTCATGAAGGAGAAACTACAGCACTACTGGAAGAACCCGGCCTACATCAGTGAAATCTGCATGGACCTTGAAGTGCCTGGCTCACTCTGCTTTACAATTCAATCCAAGGTGACATCAGAGCCCATCGATGTGGTCATCCTGACTGCCTACGATGCCCTGGGTAAAGTAGACACTGATTCCCGTTCCAGACCCCTCGGTTTCCTGAGTGTGCCTTCTAAGGGTGGTGCAATGGGTAGAGAACTGAGCCTAGAATCAGGAAGTCTTGAGGTCAAATCCAACCTCAGACACTTACTAGTTGTGGGACTCCAAGTAACTTAACCTCTGTCTGCCTCAGTTTCCTCAAACGTAAAATTAGGATCATCATAACACCTACCTCCTTGAATTGCTGTGAAGTGTTTTGCAAATGCTAAGTGCTATCTATATAAATGCTAGTTAGCTAATTGAGGAGATCTTCCATCCCAGGGCCCTCTTGCTCATGGTTCCCTCTTAGATATCCATTTCCAGGGTCCCCTCAGTCACTAGAGAGTTTGAGTAAGAGAGCATTATACAGTTACACAGAGATTTACCCTGTACTGGCTGAGGAATACTCTGGATAAATTCATAGATGGTGCTCAGTCATGTCCGACCCTTCATGACCCATACTGTCCAGGGGGTTTTCTTGGCAAAGATACTGGAGTGGTTTGCCAATTCCTCCTCCAATAGATTAAGGCAAACACAGATCAAGTGACTTGTCCTGGGTCTGGACAAGTAAGTGTCTCTCTGAGGCCAGATTTGAACTGAGGTCTTCCTGATTCTAGGCCCAGAGTTCTATCCTCTGACACGGATGATAGATTCATAATATTTATTAAGGAAAAGTAGTAATATCTGAGGCCTGTCCCTAACATGTTGAATACTACCTCAGAAAGGACAACCAGTTCACAGAAGTCCTGCAGCATTCCCATCAGAGAAAGAATTCTGGACTAGATGGGCAGAGCTATAATAGGGTGGAGAAAGAAAGTCTGTGTCCCAGGGACCATGAACACACTTGAAGTTCATAAGCATGGTAGAAACAACAAAACTTAGGACCAATTTAACGAGAATAATTAACTAATTAAAATGGGAAGCAATGAGGCAGCAGCACTTGTATCCTAAGATCCCTCTCCCCACTCCATTTCATCTAGGAGTGGTGTCCAGACACGCATCAAAGTGAAGTTTTTGTACTCAGCATAAAAATTCTAGTTTTGGCCTTGAAAAAGCATGAGGCTGATTGGCAATATTTCTAATGCACTATATTCATGAAGGTGGTTTATCCAAGAGCCTGAATCTCAGGAGAAAACTCAAAAGACCCTTGACCTCAGTGAAGAAAGGGCCTAAGGTGCATCCGGGAGGATACTAGCACTTAGCATAGCTCCTGGCACATAGCAGGCACTTCATAGGCACTAACAGCATCAGATGTTCGTAGGAGATCTCGCTGGGGAGATCACACCCCAGAAGAGAGGTCTTGTGCAGTAGATTCCCTGCCTCCCCTCTTTGAATCAAAGATCTAGGGATCTCCACATTCAGAAAAAGAAAATTGAGGTTCCTAGAGCAGAAGTGATTTGCCCAAGGTCACTTCACTATGGTTTATACAAATGCTTTTTAATTTGATACAATTCAAATCATCTGTTTTATCTTTTGTGACCATCTCTGTCCTTTGGTCCAGAATTCTCCTCCTAACCATAATTGTGAAAGGTACCCTCTTCTCTTCTCCTGATTTTTTTTCATGATGTTACTTTTATATTTAGATCAAGTATTCTTATTGAAGAAATGTGTAATTGCTGGTCTAAACAGATTTTCTACCAATTACAAGTTTTCCTAGTAATTTTTTTTTGTCAAATATGGAGGGTCATAGTTTTAACCGTCAAAATGGAATGAACAACTAGCATCAACTTTAAAAGTTAATAAATGAGAGATGTTATGAGATTCAGATGGTGGCATTGAAGCAATTCAGTCCACAAGTGAGGAAAGGCATAGCTGTGACACTGGGGGATGATGTTCAACATACCTGAACATGCTAAGGATTAGTTTTGATGGGAGAGAAAGGTTCTTCTAGTATATATGTAAATATAACATAGCATAGTGTATATATAACACATAATATATTGTTACATATTACATAAAATGTATTATAATATGAATATATTGTCCATAATAATGCTATATACAACACATTACATCAAATGTTATGTATGGCAGCTAATGAATATAGTACGTTTATTATATTGCATATTATATATAACTAATGACATATTATATTGTTATGTTATATGTGTTACGTGTCTTAACGTGTCTGTTACAACTTTTTAAGTTGACATGAGTCATTCATTCAATAACTACTGATAAAACCGTGATCCTTCTTATTTGGAAAATTTACGCTGTTTGGCAGAAAATCCATATCTTTTACATATGTACATATGTACCATGTGTGTATGTATGCACATGTATATACAAATGTACGTGTATAAATATATAATTGCATTGTGTTGTGTTCGTATGTAATGTATGTGTACATGTTTATACATATTTTCTCTGTATTATATTGCTATATAGAATACATACGTATCATACAATTGTGTGTTTTATATTATATTCTATATATCATATTCATTATATGTACATATACATATAATTATATACGCACGTGCTTTTATTATTTTATATTTATATTTATTGTATATTATTGCATATGATTGTATGATATATAATATGTTTTATTATATTTATATTATTTATATATCATATTAATTGTGTGTATATAATGATATATATGTACGTAATTACATATATATGTAACTTCCATTACCACGACGGTAATTTTCTAGGTTCCAAATTCCTTTGGTGGTTGATGTTAACTTTTCCGCTGTCACCTATACCTTAGCCAAGTTTCCCAAGGCATCACGGCTGTTCCTTGACCCACATCTCAAGCTCCTCATTATATTCCAGATGTGCCTTTTGAGAATGAAAGCTAGGGGGCAATGCTCTTGCATTCTATTCCCACCTTGTCATCAGTGTGATAATTTTGATCTTTCCTATTTTGTTTGCATTGTTGCCCGTTGTTGTCTCTGAATCATGTCTGACCCTTTGTGACCTGGGCAAGTGACTTGCCCAGGGTCATGCAGTTAGTAAGTGTCTGAGGCTAGATTTGAACTCAGATCCTCCTGACTCCAGTGTACCACCTAGCTGCCATTTTGTTTGTAATAGAAAACTCTATAGTATTGAGAGTGCCCCATTTTAATGGTAGATTGTGACAATCTGCAGTTTTGTCCTTCATTTTTCTCATGCTGACAGATAAAATAGCGGGGTTTGGGTGGGTATAACCATGCCATGATTCTTCAAGTCCATGATGTGAGCACTCAGGACTGAAATCAGCACAGATCCACTGAGGTCACAGATAGGAAGTGTCAGAGATAAGATCTGAACATAGGTCCTCTGACTCCCAAGCCCATGGTCCTCCTCTGCGAGCACATTGCCTCTCTCCTCCCAAACAACCTCAAGAATCTCCCCCTTGATTCTTCTCTCCTCAGGATCCTCTCATCCCACTTGCCCACCACCCCCTGAAACCTACATGGAACTGATTGGGGCCAATGGCTTCCCTGGGCAATTCTCACCATCCTTCATAAAACTTCGGAAGAGTTTTATAAAAAGTCTTCCCACTAAGCTGAAAAACCTCCTGAGGCTGGTGAAGCACTGGTACCTGCAGGTAAGGGAGCAGTGGAGCTCCTAGGGGCAAGGGATGGAGAGGGAGGTGACTGGAAAATCTTAGGAACAGAGGCAAGGGAAAATGGAAAATCACGGGGGGGGGGAGAGAGGGAGGAGGGAGGGGAGAGAGAGAGAGAGAGAGAGAGAGAGAGAGAGAGAGAGAGAGAGAGAGAGAGAGAGAGAGAGAGAGAGGAAAGAAAGAGGAAAGACAGAGACAGACAGACAGAGAGAGAGAGAGAGGAAAGAAAGAGGAAAGACAGAGACAGACAGACAGAGAGAAGAGAGAGAAACAGAGAGAGAGAGAGAGAGAGAGAGAGAGAGATGGGGGAGAGAGACAGAGGAATGAGAGAGACAGAGGAAAGAGACAGAGACAGAGAGAGACAGAGAGACAGAAACAGAGAGGGAGAGAAAGAGAGAGAGAAGAAGAAGGGGGAGGGAGAGGGGGGGGAGGGAGGGGGAGAGGGAGAGGGAAAGGGGGAGAGACAGAGAGAGAGAGAGAGAGAAAGAGAGAGAGAGGATAGAAAGAGGAAAGAGAGAGACAGAGAGAGAGAGACAGAGAGAGAAACATTCCAGGCTACTCTACTGATCTCCTCTGGGGACAGGGAAGCTGAACTATGTAGACCCATATTGATCCAAGAATAATAAATAATTATTATAGCTTACCCATATTTTTGTATTTGTATCTCCAATATCTAGCCCAGTACCTGGCACATAATAAGTACTTAATAAATTCCTTCACGTAAATGCCTTAAGGTGAACAAAATGCTTTCCTCCCAACAATCAACTTAAAGAGGCATCATTACAGGGGGCAGGGAGGATGCTGAGAGCAGAGAGGGCAGAGCTGACTCTGGGATTTTCCTTCCTCTTATGAAGTCATGCTGCCTTTTATGATGAATGAAGGACAAAGAGTTTATTAACCATGTCCAATGCATCAGGGCTAAAGTGAAGAGGTTTCTTGGGGGCATGATGCTGGTGGAGTCCTAGTCCAAGAAGCCCAGGAGGTAGAAAAGACAAGCAAGCAAGGGAGCCTGTGAGCAGTCACTGCACTTGGAGCCTGAAGGAGATAGAGATCATTGGTCTCCAAAAAAGGGAACAGAAGAGAAAGAAAGAGGAACAGAGGGAGGAGAAATGAGGGGAATCAGTCAGTCAATAAACATTGATGAAGCACTTACTATGGGCCAAGCACTGTGCTAAGCACAGTTATAAATTTTAAAAAGAAGACAGCACACCAAAGAAAGCTGGGGAGGGGGGAGGAAGAAGGTATCCAGCTAATTGTGGTGGAGACCAATCCAAGGATTTCAGCTGATGGGAAATGAGGAGTTGGCTGCTTAGTGAGGCCGGTTTAAATGGAAGCTTTGGGAGGACTAGATCCATCCTCCCATCAGAGGGGGAAGAGAGCACTGAAGAGATGGGAGTATCAAAGTTGATGCAAGGGCACAGAATGATGAGTTTAGTGGTGAAGAGGTGTCCTGGAAGCATGATGATGGTGGAGTCCAACTCCAAGAAGCCCTGTAGGTAGAAAAGGAAAGAGAAAAGAGAGGAAGAAAAGGAGACTCTATTTCTGGCAAAAATTAGGCAAAAGATCATCTCTCAGATCCAAGTGTCCCAAAGGCAGAGTCCAGGGCTCTTTTGGGAGGAGGATAAGAGGGGAAGGAAGAGGCCAAAGAGCAGGCAGCCTAGTATGGAAATGGCCAAAAAGCAGTATAGGGGCCACTCCACAGTTAAATGACATAACTATGATCACACAGCTTGTATGTGTCAAAAACAAGTCTTAAATCCAAGTCTTTCTGATTCCAAGACTGGCCCTCTATCTATACTCTACCACATTACCTCTCTCGTCCGATTTTACGGATGAGGAAACGGAGACTTATAGAGATTAAGAAACTTGGTAAAAGTCATACAGCTAGTAAGCATCTGAGCTGGGATATGAGCTCCAAGTACTCTGTGGCTTATAAAACACATTCCTCACAACCAGTAAGGTAATTGATAGAGAAATATGTGGGGTTCTGATGAAAAAAAAAGATGCCCAGTGTCATTCAGAGGAGCAGCAGAGTTCCCACTATCCCACTCATCATCTCCTTCCCTCTGCCTCTCCATATAGCACTTGAAATTCTATTGCCCCAAAACTCCTCTACCCCCAGTGTATGCCCTGGAACTGCTCACCGTCTATGCCTGGGAGACAGGGACCTTTCAAACAGAAAATTTCAACATGGCTAGAGGCTTCGTGAGTGTTATGAAGCTCCTCCAGGACCACAAAGATATCAGAATCTACTGGACCGAATACTACAGCCTCCAGGACCGAGTCATCACGAATTTTGTGAAGCAGCAGCTGAAGAGGAAAAGGTAGCAATCCTCTCCCTATGCCACTGAGAGGCACAGAAAGGCAAGGGGAGGAAAGACGAAGGGGGAGGTCTGCTCATGGCAATAGTTCCCGTGTCTGAGGCACCTTTAGCAATGGAGGAGAGCCAGATGGGGTGCACATCTGCAATCCTTGCTTCCAGTGGGTCTGAAGCTGGCGGATCGCATGAATTCAGGAGTTCTGAGCTGCAGCTGGGCTAAAGCCAATCTGGTGTCTGCACTAAGTCTGGCACCAATGTGGTGAGCCCCACCAGGATGCCTGAGAGGGGGTGAAAAGCAGACCACATCAAGGCTTTGGTGCTTATCAGCAGTGGAGGTCACCTGTGAATGGCCACTGCCTGTCCAGCTTGGGCTGGGTAGACTCAGTCTTTTTAGGAAAAAAAGGATGGGAGCAGAAGAAAGTGAAAGAAAGATGAAAGGGAATTAGGGGATGGGGAAAGGAGGGAGAAAAGGGAGGAAGAGACAGAAAGAGAAGAGAAGGAAGAGGAGAAGGGAGGGGAGAGAAGAGAAAGGGGGAAGGAAAGGGCAGGAGAAAGCAGAGAAAGGGAGAAGAGGGAAGAAGGGAAAACAGGGGAGAAGGAAGAGAAGGGTCAGGAGGGAGAAAGAAGGTTAGGAGAGAGGTAAAAGTAGGAAGGGGAGAGGAAAGAAGAAGAGGGAAGAAAGGAGTTAAAGAAAAGGGAGGAAAGATAGGAAGCATTGGGGGGGAAGAGAAATAAGGAGGAAATGAGAGTTGAAAGAAGTGAGAGAAGGGGATAAAGACGGGGAGGAGAGGAGAGAGGAAAGAAGGAAGGGGAGAGCTGTAAGGAAAGGACTGGAGGGCTGGAGCCAGGACTCAAACCTCAGTCCTTAGACTTCATAAAGAACTCTTTGCTCCCCTGTGGCTCCCACCTGCAGGGTAGTGATGGTTTGTTTTATTGCATACTGAGGACTCAGAGAACAAGCCCCTTCTTTTCCTACAGACCTGTCATCTTGGACCCAGTGGATCCCACCCACAATGTAGGAGAAGGAAAGCGATGGGACGTGGTGGCCCAGAGAGCTGCCCAATGCCTGAAAAAGATATGTTGTTTTGACAAGTATAACTGCCCGATCCCAGCCTGGAATGTAAAGGTACTGACCAGTCCTTTCCAATCGGTCCTTGGAGTTGAAATCCAGATATCCGTTAAGTCAGCACTTCTAGGGAGGTGGGATTTTGATGTTGTTATTTCCTCCCTCCATTCAGATCCTCCTATCCTGAGCCCTTCCAGTCTGTGCCCTCCCTTAAGTTCTCCTTGAGGGGGGAGGAGGGGGCTGTCCTCTCCAAAGAGTGGGGACCTCCTTCTAGATCTCTTGACATTGGGTAGCTACCTTGATTCTCCCTATGTGACCCAACCACCTCCTAGATCAGGGATCCGTTGGTAAATTTCAAAGGGTCCATGAACTTGGATGGGGGGGGGGAAATCTTTATTTTCACTAACCTTTAATTGAAGTTCAGCATTCCTTCAATTATTAATGTAGGTAGCAAAACCTCATTTTGAAAAAATGGGTTCTTGGTTTCATAAGATTGCCAAAGGAGTCCATGATACATACACACACACACACACACACACACACACACACACACACACACAAGGGTTAATAACCCCTCTCCTAGATTAACCACATCTGGATAAAATGCCTGAGGAAAAATGAAAGCTGACTCTGAAATGCACCTTTATTCTATTACTTTATGAGTTGACTCTGAGATTAGGCACCCCTTCCATTCTCTCCCCTCACCTTTTTTTCCCCTTCCCTTTCTTCTCCTTTTCTGTGCCTTCCCTCTTCTTCCCCCTCCCATCCTCTCTCTTCTCTCTCCCCTCACCTTTCATCCCTCCTCTTTCTCTCTTCCTCCTTCCCGTTCTTCCTTCCCCTCCTTTCTCCTTTCCCTTCTACCTCTCTTCTCCCTTCTCCTTTTCCCCCCTTTCCTCAGGCATGGTTGTCCAACACCCCCAAGCCAACTGTCTATGCCTCCCTGTCTCTGCCAGCCTGGAACAGTAAGTAAATAAGGGTGAATATGCAAAGTAGAAGCAGATGATGTACAGATGAAGCAAAGTGCCAACTAAAGAAGTTTAGACCTGATTTCCCTTTCTCTCCTTCTCCCAGAGAGTAAGATCTATCCAAGTGACAGTGAAAAGACAGAAAGGAAATAATCTGACCATCTGGGCAGATCCCTTTGAGCCCATCCAGCAAATGAAGAATCATCCAAAGCTGACCACCCTCTTCCGCCACCAGCACTATGTGTTCTACCAAGAACCTGGCAGCGAGCAAGACATCCTTAGGTGCCACCTCACCTTCGCAGATTATAGGATCTTCTCTGATGTCAGAATCTGCCTGGTGGAAAGAGTCAACTGTATGATCCAGCTCTGCGTGAATTGCTCCAGAAACAGGATTCCTGAGCATTACTCCGTGGACTCCAATGACCTTGTAGGGACGCTGATGTCTATGATTGAAGAGAGAGAAGGGCTACTCCCTGGACGGTATACTCTGATGTTCCAGGGACAACACCTGCATGTGGAGCACCCCCTTGGGTATTATGACATCCAGAAGGATGACACCCTTGTTCTCTCAGAGATAGAACCCTATTAATTCTTCCCCAGAAAATAATTTGGAAAACACGTGGGATTTTTCTTTTAAACTTTCCCAGGGAGGGGGGAGGGGAGAGAAGAAGGGAGAGAATTTGGAACTCAAAACTTTTTTTTAAATGCTAAAAATTGTTTTTACACATAATTTGGGAGGAAATAAAATATTATTTTAAAAAACACTTTCCCAGTGTACTCCAGCCATTTTAACAATGATCTAGCCTCAAGTCTTTGTTGTTTAGTACAGCTTATCACAGTTCTCTGCTGGGAAAGGGGGCCTGCCTGCCCCCTCTCCCCCCTGCCCCGTCTCTGTCTCTCTGTCTGTCTCTCTCTCTCCCTCTCTCTGTGTCTCTGTCTCTGTCTCTCTCTCTGTCTCCCTTTGTCTCTGCCTCTGTCTCTCTCTCTCTTCTCTCTGCCTCTCTCTCTCTTTTTCTCCCCTTCCACCTCTCTCTCCATCTCTCTCTCTCTTTTAGGTTTGTTTTATTTAAGTATAATGTTAATTCCATGCTATTTTTCAGTAAGAACAATACAGATTCTGCATCTCTGGCTCCAGTCAGATATCCAGTAGCACAAATTAGCTTCCAGTTATACATACTGAATGAAAGATGTTGAGCAAGCAAATGGTCATACAAGTAAGACTAGCCCATCTTGAGATTAGCCTGGGGACCAGCAGAGAAAGATTGTTTTACTTTTCTATTACCTTGCATGGGAACCCATCCATTCATGGATTGGCTTCAGTCAGAGCCATAACTAGCTATTTTGGGGTGGTTACATAAACTACCTCCAAACCAACTTTGCAAATCATCATGTGAAAAGACCAGAAGTAACTGCAACAAATCCAATTGAACAGGAGGGAGAGTGAGTTACTAGAGTGGTTTCTACACTCCTGAAGAAGGGAATGTGTTACATTTGGGGAACCTTTAAATTTCAGTGTCTGGGGAGAAAGCCCTAAGTCACAACAACCTAGGTATGGGTCTGGCCTATTCTGTGCAAAACTAAGAAGTCAATAGAGTTAACTCTTCCACATCACAACTTTCCCCATCGAGGTTTCAATATATCACAGGTCAGCATAAGAAATTAAATGGGAATTTGAGGGGAGTTTCCTGGAAGCTGCAGACAACACGCAAAGGCCAGCAGATGATGCAGAAAAAGTGCTTTTTCATACAGTATTTTTACTTAACATTGACCTACGCAAGGCCTATGACCAAATGCTTAACCCAAATTTTACAGTAAGGTATTGTAAACACCCCATAAAAGAAAAAGAAAAAATTCAGACTTCTTCTCTGGCATGAAAGGAGGGCCAAAAACTTTTATGTGGATTTTCCAGATCATGGTGCTCCTAACTTCTGTGATGTGTAAGGGATAACTGTAAAGTATGTCTGCAGTGCCTTGACCTCCCTCCTCTGTGCCTGTGGCCCTCTCAGTAACCCCCTGTTTTTGTAAGGAGAGCATTGGGAATGCGATGAATTCACTCACACTGGAGATGTAAGGGACTTGCTGCTCCTTCCTTAACAGGGTTGTTGCAAGGGTAAAATGAAATAATACTTGTAAAATGCTTGGCACAGTGCTGGTAAATAGTCAGTGCTTAATAATTGCTTGTTTCCTTCCTTCCTGACCTCTCAAAGGAATGTACATGTCAAAGGAGGAGGACTGGGAAAGGGGCAGAGAGGAACCCAAAGGAGTAAATGCCATAGGCAGAATTTCTATTCCCTTCTCCCACTGGATGCCCAGTTTAATACCCTCTGCTCTCCTGGTCCCTTACCTGAGGTCTGCTTATCCTACGCTTTCCTCAAGTCATCAAATATCAATCAGTTAACCCACAAGCATGTATTAAGCACCTAACAGTACCCAGCACTGTGCTAGGTACTGAGAATAAAACAATGCCTGCCTTCAAGTTGCCTCTATGGAGTGAGGTTAGGGGTTGAAGGGGGGAGGCATGGAAAGAGAACCAATGCGTACAAATATGCGTGCCATGTACATGTACACTTAGGCAGGGTGTGTGTCCTGTCTACATGTGTTTATCTAGATGTGGTTCAAAAGAAAACACAAACAATTATCCCTAGAGTCTCCTCTGCCCTTCTCCAAGAAAGACTGATTCCTGCCTGGAATGGAGCAGAAGATTAGAGTCACAAGGCTGGCCCACTCTGCCGTCCTCAGAAAGAAGACATCAGATGAGAGGTAGATCAATTGACCCCTTCTTCCTTGAGCAGAGGCATAGCATACTCATGTTTCCACAATGGCAGCTTATGTGGAACGTGGATTAGAGGGAAGAAGGACCAATGGAGAGGAAGCCCATTAGGAGGCTGTCATGATGGTTCAGAATAGAGCAAAGGAGCAAATGTGCAAAGGAGCAGCAATTCATGGAAACAGCTGGAGTGGAGAGAAGAAGGAAAAGAGGGAGACCCTCCTCAACTAAACTAACCTGGAAACTCAACTCCCTACACTCATGCATGCCCTGTTAGAGCATAAGCATCCTGAGGGCAGAGCCTTTCTTTGGAAGCCCTGGGCTTAACACAGCACCTGGTTCTGAAGAAAGTTATGTTGACTCAACATTCCATTGTTCCCAGCTCTGTTTATCAATCACTGTTGAGTAAGTCTTTGGTGGGGAAGGAGACACTATGTCCGCAGCTTTTGTATTACATACTCTTTGTCATAGACTTGTAAATTGAGGCAGAGGCTCTCTCTAGAGAATTTGGATCTCTCTCTTTCTCCCAAAAGGGGAAGATGCCTGGAGAACACAAAGGCCATTTCTCAAGATCCTAATCCCCCTTTTCCCTAAAGGGAAGAAAACCAGAGGAAGATAATGCCTGTGAAATTAAAGAAGATTTTTATTAATCAGGGAAGCAAAATATGTATGTGTGAGTGGTTAGCCTAATACTGAACACTCAGCTAAGTGATGGATGTGCAGGGTATGGATACTTTTCAAACAAAGGAAGGCAGGCAATTGCAGAGAAAGGCAGCAATTGGGCAGGTCCTAGAAAGGAATGAGGCAGGGAGCCCCATTCCCAAGGACAGGGGGAGTGAGGAATTCCAGGGATCAGAGCCATGGCCTTCTGATGCACAAGTCGAAAGACATTCTGGGTGAAAGCAATCCTGACAGCTCAAGACTTGAGCATAAACAATAAGATAAGGGGGTGTCTCCCCCTGAAATGTTTATGAATCTCACATAAAACAGGATGTTTGTCTGAGAGCCCCATAACCAACAGGTAAGGGAGTCTCTGAAGATAAGGATGTCCATAAACCACCAAATGGCTCAGAGTCTGCTTCAAGGCTGGTATGAGCTTAACTGGCTTCAGAGTTGCCGATTTTCTGCATGTCCAGCTGGGTTTACTCTTGATCACCGCAAAGGATTGTTGGCATGTCAAGCCACTCTGTGTCTTAGCTCATATAGCCAGTCTTCATACAGCTCTTCTCAGTTACCTGGATAATTGGGGAGCTCAAGCAAGTTGGGGTAGTTAGTATACTCATTTCCAAATTCATTTGTACATACCCCTACCTGCAAATTGTCATGTTCTTGCCACCTTAGGGAGGAACTTCCCCCCCTTGAATCCATTGCTGATCTTCAGCGATCAGCCCCTCAATGTGCTGCTACCTTGATGTACTTATAATAAAATCCTCTTAATTCTCTTTGTCCTGAATTTTGCCTCATCGATCAGGGTGGAAGCCTGAATGAAGAATTTTCCTTTAAACAATACATAGTAAGTAATTAATAAATGTTTTCAACTGTTTTGACTGACTGATGCACATTCAGTCCACATAACCACAAAGGCAAAGGACCTTCCCCATTTCTATCAAGCAGGTAGTTCAGGGTAGTGGACCTGGGTCTGAGTCCTGGCTTTGCCATTTGATACTTGTATGATCATGATCAAGTCTCTTCCCTTCTCTGAGCCTCAATTTCCTCATCTGTGAAATGGGGATGATAACACCTGTTCACCAGGGTCACAAAAATCAAATGGGATGGTATATCATATTGAAATATGTCTGTCATAGAATTCCTAGATGATAAACTCTTCAAAGAGGAGGATAAAGTGTCCTTCAGAAATAAAAAACTGGGGAAGAAGAGAGGATTTACACAAGTTTCTCAAATACATAGGGAACTAAGCCAAATTATAAAAATAAGAGTCATTTCCCAATTGATAAATTGTCAAATGACATGAACAGGCATTTTGCAGATGAAGAAATCAAGGCTATCTATAGTTGCATAAAAATTCTCTAAATTACTACTGATTAGAGAAATGCAAATTAAAACAACTCTGAGGTACAGTCTCACACCTATCAGGTTGGCTAACGTGACACAAAAGCAAAATGGCAAATGCTGGAGGGAATGTAGAAAAATAGAGACACCAATGCACTGTTAGTAGAGTTGTGAACTGGTCCAGCCTTTCTGGAGAACTGCTTGAAATTATGACCAAAGGGCTATAAAACTGGGCATACCCTTTGACCCAGCAATTCGAGTACGAAGGACTGTATCCCAAAGAAATCAAGGAAAAGGGAGGACCTTTTTGTACAAAAATATTTATAGCAGCTCTTTTTGTGGTGGCAAAGAACTGCAAACTGAGGGGAAGCTTATCAGCTGAGGAATGACTGAATAAGTTGTGGCATATGATTGCGTGGAATGTTATTGTAATACATGAAATGATAAACAGGATGACTTCAGAAAAGCCTTATATGAGCTGATGCAAAAAGAAGTAAACAAAACCAGGAGAACGTTGTACATAGTAACAGCAACATTGTAACAAGAATGACTTAGCTATTTTGATCAATACAATGATCCAAGACAATTCCAAAGGCCCCATGATGAAAAATGCCATCTACCTCCAGAGAGAGAATTGATGGAGTCTGAATGCAGATCAAAACATACTTTTTTTTCACTTTATGGTTCTTGCTGCTTTTTTTTTTGGGGGGGGGGGACATGGTTAATATGGAAATTGGGCAGCTAGGTGGCACCATAGTGCACAGAGTGCTGGGCCTGGAGTCATGAAGACTCATCTGAGTTCAAATCTGGCCTCAGACACTTACTAGCTGTGTGACCCTAGGCAAGTCCCTTAACCCTATTTGCCTCAGTTTCTTCATCTGCAAAATGAGCTGGACAAGGAAATGGCAAACCACTCCAGTACCTTTGCCAAGGAAACCCAGATGGCACCACAACGAATGGAAAAAGCTTCAAGGACAACTTTTCTCAACTTGACCCGAAATCTCTCTTTGAAGCTTTCCCCTTCTGCCCTCTAGCTGACCAAGCAGAACAAGGCTAATAATCCTTTTTCTACAGAACAGCCCTTCAATTACTTGAAGGCATGTGTCCTACTCCAGGGTGGGGAACCAAAGTTGGGGTTTAGTCAAAGGGCAGCACTTGAGGTCCCAGAAGGCCACAGATTCCCCACCCCTGCTATTCCCTCTGAGTCTTTTCTTCTCCAGGCTAAACATCTCCAGTTCCTTCAACTGAACCTCACACCCCCTGCTCAGGCTGCCATTCGGGGACCTCTCCCCCTAAAAAGCTGTCCTCAGTATTCACCACCGCCTGAATTGGATAAATAAATGCCCATTGACTCCAGGATCAAATATAAAATGCTCTGTTTGCCCCTCAAAGCCCTTCACAATCTGACCCCCTCCTGACCCCCCTTTCCTATCTTCTTACACCTTACTCCCCTACACATCATCTTCTATGCACTGGCACCAGCCTCCTGGTTATTCCATGAACAAGACACTCTATCTCTCCACTTTGGCCTTTTTCTCTGGCTATCCCCCCTCCCTGGAACATCCTCCCTACAGAAAGATCACTATGTTGGGGTAGTTAGATGGTGCAGCAGACAGAGCACACTTCCTGGAGTCAGGAGGACCTGAGTTCAAATTCGGCTACTGTGTGACCCTGGGCAAGTCGTTAACCCTGATTGACCAAAAAGAAAAAAAAATCATTATGTTTTCAACTTATTTCTGCAAGCTCTCCAGAGGCCTTAGGACCGTGTCTTCCTCTTCTTTGCATCCTCCTCCTCTAGACTAGCCGAGGGACTTTGAACATGAATGAAAGACTATTGCTTGTTTCTATAATCTCTACGGGAAAGCAGACTCCCTGGCCCAGGGGCAAGAATCAGGAGCAGGATTTGCAAAAAATTAAATTTAGACTTTAACTGAGGGGAAAACCTCCTATCCTAGGCAAAGGAACTGGTTATATTTAGCCTAAAAACGTAAGACTTAGCGGTGACCTAGTCGCTGACTTTAAGCCTCTGGAGGATTTTCAGGTGGAGGAGCGTAAACTAGTTCCGCTCGGCCCCAGAACTAGGCTCAGCGCGTGCAAGTGACAGGAGCTGGTGAAGACTTGACCCGGCAAACGCCCTCGATGAGAGCTGTCCCCAAAGTAAGACAGGCTACCTCCTCAGGAGGGGGTGGTCTCTCCCTCACTGGAGGTCTTTGGGAAAAGGCTGGACGAGCCCACGCCTGGGATGTCATGAAGGGGGCTCAGGTTCAGATGTGAGCTGGCCTCTGGGACGCTCCGCCGGACCTCGGGAACTGAGCCGGAGAACTACAATCCCCAAAATGCACCGCGCGGCTCGCCCGTGACGTGCAGCCCCGGGAAGATGGGAGGGGAAGCGGAAAGACGACCCACAATGCATTGCAGCGGACCAAGATGGCCGCGCCCGGGGCTAGCTTGAGCGACAGCGAAAGCAGTGAGGATGACGACGCCGAGGAGCTGCAGCGCTGCCGGGAGGCGGCCGTGCCGGCCTGGGGCTGGGGGCCGCACCCGGAGCGGGGACAGGGTAGGGAGCCCCGAGCGCGGGCGGGGGGAAGAGGAGGAGGAGCCCAGTGCGCCTGCGCAGGCCGACTAAGCGACCCGGGAGGGGGGCCCACTGGGGAAACTGAGGCAGAGGTCCTTAGGCCCAAGTGAGGAAACCAGCCGTCTCTTTTGATAGATGGGGACACTGAGGCACTGGGACCGCAGAACACATGGGAGCAGGGAGGCCTCTGAGAGGGAAAGTGACCCCCAGGATCACCCAGTGAAGTTAATAGCAGAGCTAAGATTCGAACCCAAGACTGTTCTCCCTTCCTCTCCATCATGAGACCAAAGATCTAGAGCTGGAAGGGGCCCCAGAGACCACGTGGTCCCGCTCCTCATTTTACGCCGAGCCCAGGCGGTAAGCAGCAAAGGGCTGAATTCGAACCCACGCCCCGTGGGAGCCCGAGGTGCAGTATGGATCCCTTGGGCTCCAAAGCCCTTCCTAGCCCTAGGATTCTGGGGAGTCGTGGAAGGAGTCCCGGCGGCAGCTCTGCCACTACCTGGGCAGCCTTGGAACTCGCCCCCCAGAGCCCGCGTCCTCGCAGCCCCGGGTCCAGGGGGATTTCTACGGTGCCTTGTCTCCCCAGGAGCAGAGACCTTCAGCCTTCCTGCGGGCAGCTCGCCATGAAAGCGTAGCCTTGTCGAGGGCAGGACCCTTGTCTTGGCTCTGTGTGCCCCGGGCCCAGCCAGACTTGAAGCAGGCAGTCAAAAAGTATTGTTGAGTTAGGATGAAAGATACGGTTCACAGCTCCTGGAACATCAGCGCTTAGAACTTAGAATGTCAGAGTTGGGAGGAGCCTGAGAACAGGGGGTGTCGGGGCTGGGAGGGGCCTGAGAACCGGGGGTGTCAGAGCTGGGAGGGGCTGTAGAACAGGGGGTGTCGGGGCTGGGAGGGGCCTGAGAACAAGGGGTGCCAGGGCTGGGAGGGGCCTGAGAACAAGGGGTGTCAGAGCTGGGAGGGGCTGTAGAACAGGGGGTGTCAGGGCTGGGAGGGGCCTGAGAACAGGGGGTGTCGGGGCTGGGAGGGGCCTGAGAACAGGGGGTATCGGGGCTGGGAGGGGCCTGAGAACAGGGGGTATCGGGGCTGGGAGGGGCTGTAGAACAGGGGTGTCGGGGCTGGGAGGGGCCTGAGAACAAGGGGTGCCAGGGCTGGGAGGGGCCTGTGAACAAGGGGTGTCAGAGCTGGGAGGGGCTGTAGAACAGGGGGTGTCAGGGCTGGGAGGGGCCTGAGAACAGGGGGTGTCAGGGCTGAGAGGGGCCTGAGAACAGGGGGTGTCGGGGCTGGGAGGGGCCTGAGAACAGGGGGTATCGGGGCTGGGAGGGGCCTGAGAACAGGGGGTGTCGGGGCTGGGAGGGGCCTGATAACAGGGGGTGTCGGGGCTGGGAGGGGTCTGAGAACAAGGGGTGTCAGGGCTGGGAGGGGCTGAGAACAGGGGGTGTCAGGGCTGGGAGGGGCTGTAGAACAGGGGGTGTCAGAGTTGGAAGGGACTTCAGTGGACATTGGAGTCCAAACTCTTTCTCTTGCAAATGAGAAAGTTCCCCAGAACTGGCAAACAGTCAGCGAGATCTTGTCCCAAACACCTCATTTCCCTTTCTTTCCACAGAGCTTGCAGCTAAGGACCATTTGCCAGCTGCCGGACCAAGCCTCAGGTAGTGGGGCATTTTGAGCCTGGGCTCCGAGGTCCCATGACGTGGAGTCCACACTGCAGGGGGGTCAGCCTGGGGGTTTTGGCACCATCTGGGACATGGAGCCTCAGGGTCTCCTGAGCCCCTGGTGAGGAGGCTGCTTTGTTTTCATGGCAGACACAAGGTGGATGAGCATGAGCAAGATGGGAATGAGCTGCAGACCACTCCAGAGTTCCGGGTTCACGTAGCAAAAAAGCTGGGAGCCTTATTAGACAGGTAAGGAAAGCCCAACGCCCTGAGCCCCTCCTTCAGAGTGGTCGAGGAAGAAGGCCAGGAGAATGAACATTAGTCAGTGTTTACAAAGGCCCTACTCTGTGCAGGCACAGTGCCACGCACTGGGAGCTGAGATTCATAAGGAGGGATGGATCCTTCCACTGGCCGTTCATCCACCTGTGTGGGCCTCCCTTCCCTGTGCTGATTGCAGCCCCTCAGGCCTCTAATCAGTCCTGTGTGTTTATCAGTTTTGTCCTTCCATAAATCCCCAGCCAATGGGAAGCCCATCAGAGCTTTTGATAAGCTGTGGGGTGTCCCAGGGATGTTTGCAGTGTTGGCATCAAGGATGGCCACACCCCCTTGCTGCCTTCGTCAGAGAGAACCATTCTCTAGCCTTGGTCTTCTTGGAGTGAAAGGTGAGTCCCCGGAAAGCTCCCTGTGGGCCTAGAGATGGTGGGGACATCTGCTAGAAGGGCTGGGGGCCTCGGGTCTTGGCCAGGCCTGAACACCTGGCTCAGAAAGTGACTGGAGGTGCGGATGCCGCTCTCCCTGAGTGCGCCTCGGGGGCAGAGGGAGCAGGCGTCTGGGTCTGACCTCAGACCAGTCGTTGGAGCTTCTTGTCTTTCCCTTTTCTCATGTGTCAAGTGTGGGTCAGACCAGATGCTTTCTAAGGGCCCTCTCTGCTCTGCATCCTATGATGACGATTCAGAGTTTACAAAGACATTATACATATGATCTCCTGAGCCCACAGCAACCTAGAGAGGGAGGTGCTATCATCATCCCCATTTTATAGATGAGGAAACTGAGGCAAACAGGGGAAGTGACTTGCCCAGGGGTCACACTGCTAGGAAGCATCTGAGGCTGGATCTGAACTCAGGTCTTCCTGATGCCAGGCCCAGCGGCCGGTGTATTTTATAGCTAAAACATATAGTTTTGCATGTAAATAAATTAAAGCTTATAACTTTACACGTATAAATAAATGTCAGTTGTCATGATAGGGTTGTTGGCTCGTTTCTTGTATTTGTTTGCACGTCGTCTCTGCCGTTAGATGGTGAGCTCCTTGCAGGTAGGGCTGTCATCATCTTTCTTTGTATCCCCAGCACTTGTCGTGGTGCCGGGCGCGTGGTAGGCCTTAATAAATGTTTACTGACAGATGTTTGTGGGGTAGTGGATAAAGAGCAGGCCTCCGGGCAAGGATGGCCATCTCTGACAGTCACTGACTGTGTGACCCTGGGCAAGTCACTGAACCTTGCAGATTATACACTGCAGGGCTTGTGTTGATCAGCTTTGGTGGTGGTGAAATCATGGCAAAGTCCCTCCACCAGTGAAATCACAACTGCTTTCCCCAAGATAGAGGATGTGTTATATAGTGGACACATCAGTGTTCTTTCTCATTTTGGACCTTTCGTGTCATCGGTATAGGCCCGTACATGTTAAAGTGCCTTCTGCAAATGCATGTTGGCAGCTCGTCTGTGACTCAGTCTTAGCAAGCACCCAGAGCCCCAAGAAGGGAGGGGAGCTGCCCAGGGTCACGCAGATGGTGTCAGAGGAGGACTTCACCCCAGCTAGTGCTGGACAGATTAGCAAATCATCGTCATCATTATTCTTGCTCTTATTATGACATCATTCAGGCTGGTCTACACAGCTCTTCATGTTTTTTCTGATCATGCTGAAGACAAGCGCAGGCTGACCGGGCCCTGCTGACCAGAAGCTCTCCATCAAGTCTCTGTCCAGCCCCATCCTTTCTAGCAGCCCAATGCCTTGGCTGAAGGTTTCGAGCTCAGTCACTGCCGTTCTCTCCCCTTTAGCTTTATCACCATTTCGGAATCCAGCCCCAGGCCTACGCAGGCTCCCGTGCAGACAGTCCCCGGGGGGGATGATGGTGAGTGCCCACTTCCTTTTTCTGAGCTCGGACCCTCTGGCTGGGTGCCGGGGCCCCGGGACTCACACACCTGTTTGGCTGTTTGGCGTTCCAGGCTTCCGCCTCTTCTTCACATCTGTCCCAGGCAGCCCAAGGGACGCAGCTCCTCCTGCCAGGAGCAGAAAGCGGCCTCCGTCCAGTTCCAGGTAAGTGGGTGGCTGGGTCCAGAGTCGAGTGCTACTGGCTTCCTGCCTTGGCCAGTCCCCTCCCCAGCCCTCTCAGCAGAGCGTGCTCAGACCCAGGCTAAGGAAGAGTCATCTTCACAGCCCCTATTTATGTGATACTTGGAGGTTTGTAAAGCACTTTACGTATGCGTCTCATGGGATCCTCACAACAGATCTGTGCAAGTGGCATCCCCATGTGACAGATGAAGAAATCGAGGGTCAGAGAGGTCAGGTGATTAGCCCGGGGCCACCCAGCCAGTTCAGCCCAGCTTCCCTCCCAGATGCTGTGCTCTGCCCACTCACCCACCCTGCCCTGTCAGGAACTTGAGAAGGCACAGCTTGGCCCAAGGGGGTGGTGGGCCAGGGGCCAGGAACACCGACCCCAATTATCTCATAGCAGTGACTCAGACAGTGATGAGGAGTGGAGGAGATGCCAAGAGGCGGCCGTGTCTGCGGCAGACATTCTGCAGCCTGGAGCCCTGCCTGCCCAGGAGGCCCCCGCGGAGCAGCAGATGCCCAAGAAGAAAAAGAGGAAGAAGAAGAAGAAGGGAGAGCACCAGGTTGGGCAGGGGAAGGGAGCTGGTCCTTGGGGGACCCTGGAGAAGCAGCCTCAGCCCCTGTCCCTTCACAGGGAGCCAGAAGGAGGAGAGGCCCAGCACAACGGGGGCCACGAACCGCTCACCACAAAGAGAAAGAAAAGGAGGAAGAAAAACCAGACCAAGGAAAGCGAGGCTCCACCATTCCCAGCGCAGAAGGGCCGAGCAGCCAGTGCCGCCGAGTAACTCCATCGTCAGGGGTGGCACCTACCTCCAGCAGCCACTGCCCCTCCAGGCCCGGGTCTGTCAAATGAGGAGGACACCCTTCCCGAAGAAGAGGAGCAGGCCACTCTCAAATGGGCCCAGGGCTGGGAGCCCTCCATGACCTCTGGCCTCCCTTCATACCCACTCTCTGCCAATGCCTTGGGCATGGCCTGGAGGTGCACTGGGAGGGCACCCTGGGGTCGTGGCGAGGCCTGGCTGCCATCTGCGTCACTGGACTCCTCGGGGGCCCTCAGCCGCTTGAGGGTGGGAGCCGAATAAAGCTCGTGGCCAGCGGCGCCCTGGCGCTCTGGCCCCTGTTCCATCAGGTGGGGGACCTGGCTGAGGGCCACCCAAGAGGGCGTGGGCAAGCCCTTTGTGTCCCTGAAGCCACCCTGGGTCTAGCAACTGGAGAGGCTCAGCCGTGCCTGGGACAGGACCCTCTGAAATCACTGGGGAAATGCTTCATGTGCATTCCTACCTCCTCCCCTTTCCCTCTCCACTCCCCAGCCCTACGAGCTCCTGAGGACTTTTTTATTTGTTTTCTGAAAAAAATATAGAAATTTCCTGTAAGTTCCTGAAAACTTCCAGCTTTTCATTTCTAGAAGTGTTTAATTCTGTAAAGACTAGAAATATGGCAAGAGAACAGAGCTGCCCTTAAAGGCAGTGAGTTCCCCGTCACCTTAACTAATCAAGCGAAGGATTGCGGGACTTAGATCTGGAAGGAGATGTTAGGTGTCATCCAGTCCAAGCCCCCCATTTTACATGTGTTCTGTCACTGTGCTCTGCTGAGCATTTCAGTGGACATTGGGGAGGGGCTGGCCCCGCTGACCTCCGAACTTCCGTCCAGGCTTTAGAGCCTCTGAGTCTGTTTCTGGTTTTCCTTAAATTCCATTTGCCCTCTCAGTTGCCCTCCATCTCCCCCACCTTAAAGAATGTTTAAAGGGCCATTTCCATGACCTAGAACTTGTGGAAATGTTACATCCCTAGCGTGACACAAGATAAAACCTTAAACTGCATTGAGAGAGGCATTGAAGTGCAGAACTAGGGAGGGGACCGTCCCCCCTCCTCTGCCCCGTCAGATGAATCGCGGGTGCCACCCAGAGGTGTTCAGAAGCAAGCGGCCCAGGCAATGAAGGCCCCCCTGGGTTTATACCCTGGAAGGGCTGGGAATGTTCAGACCAGAGAGACCATGTAGTATAGGGAATGCTTGACCTGGAGTAGGGCAGGTTGAAGTTCAAATCCAGTCTCTTAAATTCACCAGCCATGCGACCCTGGGCAAATCACTCCAGCTCTGTCTACCTCAGTTTCCTCAACTGCAAAAAAAAGTATGTCTTGGGCCAAATGGCCCCTAAAGTCCCTGCCACCCCTCAGTCTGTTACCCAGTAAGACCTCAGAGGATGGGATGACTGACTGTCCTCAAGAATTAGGAGGATTATGTTGTGAAAGGGGGCTGGGATGTAGTCTGATTGATCTCTGTAACACACGCCATGTCAACAGAGATGGGGGCCAGACTTGGCAGCCGCAGGTCCCTTCCATCTCTGGGTGTCTGTGACCCCGTTCGTTAGGAAAGCAACAGGGAGACCTCGGAGTCACCAGCTCTCCCAAAGGCAGTTAAGTGGTGGCACAGTGCACAGAGCACTAGACTTGGAGTCAGGAAGACCTGAATTCAAATCCAGCCTCAGACATTAGCTGTGTGACCCTGGGCCGGTCACTTCACCTCTGTTCGCCTTTCAGGATTGTGAGAATCAAGTGGCTGGTACCTAGTAGGTGCTTAATAAATACTTGTTTCCTTTCCAGGATGTTCTCTTTACTGACACCTGAGATGATCTGCCCCACCCGCTAAGGCAGGGTGAAGGAACAAAGCACTCTCTGGCAGAAAGTTAAATATGTGTGTGTATATATATATATATGTATGTATATATTTATAGGCTCTCCCCTTCTCGGGAGCAAGCAGCAGGAGATCTCTGTGTCGCGTTCATTCCCCTCCTGTCCCTGTTCAGGAACCACAGGCCCAGGGGATCCCCACAAGCAGAGCCCCAGCGCCCTCGGCCAGAGAGGATGGATGGCCGGAGCCTCCGGGCCATTCCCATTCGGGGTGGTGGTGTCTCCTGGGAGCAGTCGTTCAGCCTCTCCTGGCCTTGCCCCTCTTGCATGGCTGGACCTGCCTCCCCAGGAGAGTCCAGCCTCCACAATCGTCCTGAGTACTTGGGAGCATCCACCTCTCCATCACGATGTTGCCAGAGTCACAGGGCATCTGGTAGGGTAGCAGATGGTGGAGATGGGGAGGCAGGGGCCGCCCTCCCCCAGGGGAGCCCAGGCCCACGGTGACATCTACAGAAGTGCCTGATAGAACTGGGTAAAGGAAGGAACAAAGAGCTGTAGCTGGAAGGAGGAGAACCAAACCCGCATAGGAGTCGTCCAGAAGCATGCTGCCAAATCAGCGGCTCAGGAATGGGGCTGGGGAGGGGGCCCTGTCCAGCTGCCCTTTCTGCTTATTGCTGGGAACTTTCACTAGAGAGGCCAGAGCAAAGCTTACTGGCTGACATGGGTGGTCACGAGGTGGGTGGCAGCAGCCTTGATGTGGGAGGACTGTGTCCTGCCCTTCCCCGTCCCTCTGGTTTGGCTCTGACACTGGCCGATGAGCCTGAGCTTGGGGAAACTGGGCAGGCCCAAAGAATTGGTGATCAGGGCTCCCCAGGGTTGTGGGGCTGGGGGAAAGGAGAGCTCCAGATGGAGGCAGGGGGTCCTGGTGAAGTCCCAGCTCTGCCATGCACTGGCTCTGTGCGCCAAGGATCACCTACATCTTCACCCCCCAGGCCTCAGTTTCCTCCTTCATAAAATCATGACCTCCAAGGCCCTCTTCAGCCTTCGAAGCTGGCAGAGAAGAGTTGGGGGGGGGGGTCGAGGTCCCCAGGATTCCTTCTGAGATTGGGCTTCTTAAAGAGTTTTCCCAAGGGTCCTTATCCCTGTGTGGCAGTGGAGGTCGAGGGAGGCTTCTCCTACCCCCTTCGGTAGGCAGTGCCCCTTCCCAACAGAGCCCCGGCACCTGGAGGGTGGTCGCCATGGTTACTGAGAGGAAGACGCCATGTGTGTGGAGATGAAGGTCTCAATGACGCCGTGGTTGGAGGACAGGAGCTGGCTGTGGCTACTGGTGGACTCTGAGCCCTGGTACAGTACCAGGCTGCTGGAGGAGACTGCAGAGGCAAGGATGGCCGGTGAGCTGGGCAGCCTCCCAGGCGGCATCTAGTATGACCCCCTCCCCACACCATACAGATGAGGAAACTGAGGCACAGTGAAGCACCCTCCCCAGAGTCTACAGTGTAAGCCAGGATGTAATAATAGCAATGGTGGTGACAGTGATGATAGCTAGCATTTATAGATAGCGAGGTCCCACATACTGCTGCATCCTCACAATAACCCTGGGGAATAGATATTATTATCCTTGCTTTACAGATGAGGAAACTGAGACCAAAAGAGGTTAAGTGACTTGTTCAAGGTCACACAGTTATTAAATCTGAAGCTGGATTTGAACTCAGATCTTCCTGATTCCAGGCCCAGTAGTATTTGGATTCAGGCCCTCTGAGGACAACCATTTGCCCAATGGGCTATGAAGTAACTCCTGCCATTTTGGAAGTGGTAGCTGAGGTAAACAGCCCAGCGGTGGTGTGGATAGAGCGCTGGAGTGGGGGGTGGGAGGGACTCAGTTCAAATCCAGCCTCGGACCCTAACTAGCCATGTGACTGCACAAAGTCACGTAACACTTCTCAGCCTCAGTTTCTTCATCTGTAAAGTGAGGGGATTAACAATAATAGTGCCCACCTCCCAGGATTATTGCGAGGTTTAATAACACACAGAAGGTGCTACAGAAATGATACCTCATCTAGCGAATACTAGGATGATTTCCGAGGGCCTCTGTTTCCGTATCTACAGTTTCGATGGGCTGAATTAGACAAGGTCTAGGATCCCTTCCAGCTCTGCATCTGTGATCCTCTGACCCGGCTGGCCTCCTAGGACTCCCATCGGGGGAAGGTTGTTCTCTCCCCTTCCCCTACCCCTAGCTGAGGTGGCTCAGTAGATGGAAGGCTGGATTTGAGAAGACCTGAGTTTGAATCCTGCCTGGGACACTAGCTGTGTGACCCCACATAAATCATGTGACCTCTCCCAGCCTCAGTTTCCTCATCTGTAAAATGGGCAGTTTGGACTCTGGCCTCCAAGATCCCTCCCAGCTCTAAATCCATGACCCTGTGATTCCCTGCTATTGTGGGCTGTAACTGCTTTTGCGTCTTTTCCCTGTCTTTCCCCCTCTCGATTTTCCCTTTCTTCCCTAATAGAGCCAAACTGGACCACAAGTCTGGCCTCCTCATTGTATGAATGAGTAACTGACTTGCCCAACATTATCCAGCTAGGAAGGAAGTCGGAGTCAGAATTTGAATCCAGGTCCTCTGACTATGACCCCACATTGCCTCCTCCCTCTCAGCAAACATGGGCTCACTGTGTGATCCCTCCAGAGGGTTTGGGGCAGGGAGGTGGGACATCCCTCACCAGCTGGGCTGGTGCTGAGGCGATGTCCCTGCTGGATACCTGGGTCCTGGCTGGGGATGTGGATGGTCGAAGCCTGAGACACTGGTGTGTGTAACCCGGACTCGCTGGGGGTCTCAGAGTCTGAGCTGAACACCTAAGGGAGAAGAGATGCCGAGTCACGGGAGATTGAGGGCAGCTGGGGCCTGAGCACCTTGGACAGCGGCCACAGGCTGTCATCCCCTTTCTGCTTTACCTGCTTGGTGGGCGTCAGGCTGGCAAGCGCACTGAGGTTGGCAGTGTCGGTGATGAGCATGGTCTGGGGAAGGAGGCCAGTGTGTGTGTACTGAGTAACATCAGGTTTGTGACTGTAGAGGGCTGTGGAGAAATACAAATGAGAAGAGAAGCCACATAAAACACAGGGACCAGGGACCCTAATTAATCAGGGGCACACTTAGCTGGTGACGCCACGCCTTTTCTGAGTGGTCCCAAGCAATGACCCGAAGAGATTTCTGCTTCCAGAGGGAAGGAGGTGTAGATAAACTGTAAAGTGCTTTGCTTTGATGTGTGAATGACCATGCCTGCTGTAAGCTGTTAATACAGTCATTTGTAGTGCTTCCAACTTTGTCTGTCCTGCTGTCAGAGCACAGGACTGACCTAAGTGGGAAAAGGCACTTTCTCATCGCTGGGACCCTTGGGGGACCAGTCAGGCTGGGACTGCCCAACCCTCTCCCACAACCATCACTGTGGGGCTCAAGCTGGGGAGTGTGGAAAGGAAGCGGAATGGCCTCTGGGGGGACCAGGCGCCTCACCATGAGGACTCTGAAGCTGGGCCATGGTGGCCATGAAGGGACTCTGGGCCATGTGGCCCTGCACCTGTTGCATGAGCGGCTGTTGATAGGAGGGATGCAGTGGCTGGGAGAACTGGACAGGCTGCAGGGTGGTCAAGCTGCTGCCCATGCTGTTGATGACAGGCACACTCTGGGCCTGGCTGGAGGCTAAGCCTAGAACACAGATGGGAAGAGACTAGAACCTACTTCCCTGTTCCCCTT